TGGGGACTGCGTACGCGCCGTCCCCTTTATTAATTATATATAATAACTATAATTAATAATAATAAGTAGTACACACATAATTTAAAATTAAAAATTTTGTACACCCGACTTCAATATAAGTTATTAAAAATAACTCAAAAACTATTGGTCTGACCTTGATCAAATTCATATGGGACCACACGAGAAGTATCAGCTTTCATATAAAAAAGAATCATCGAAATCGGTTCACCCAGTAAAAAGTTATGAGGTAACACACTTAAAAAAAAACATACGCGTCGAATTGAGTACCGTCTCCTTTTTGGAAGTCGGCAGGAAAAAAGTATATTAAAAGTTATTAAGATTTAGGTTAAGAAGAGTTGTTTTTCATCACATGGTTCAAATTTCACAGCATGTAATTATGATTCGGCACCTTAATACTATTTGAAATATAATAAAATTGGTCATTCAGTTCACATTCAAGTTTAGTACCTCGTGAAATACATTTGATTATTAATGATTTTACTTAAAATTATATGAATTAGTAGTGACATAAATTGTTATTCTCCATAAAAATTTTTTGTTACGCTTGTCTTTCCTCTTATAGTCAGTAGTGGCAGTATCCCTCTGGAGGCTCCAACAGTAGTAGTCTGCGAGCATGGTTGACTCCCATCATTTTTTGTTATTCGTTGACATTGATAACGCTTCTCATACTCTGCAATTTCTTTATGAAATCTTTCACCATGTTCATCACTGTTACCGGACTGTTACCCATGTTATCCGGAAAGAAAATTAAATGTCACTTAGCGTAGGAAATTTTGTTTTAGGATACAAAAATTCAGATCCGTCTTTGGCGAGTGTTTTTACAAAAGTCTTTCAAAGCAAGCTTGATATGTAACGGCGGTAAAATTATTTTCTCAGATGGCACTAATGGTTCATTGTTGACATTCTGCCAAGCACGAAACCGGATCTTAGAGGTCAGTTTTGTTTTGTTAAGTGATCTGTACGCAATAATTATTTTGACAAAATAAATGTTTAGGCGGTCGTTTTCGTTTGTTCGTATAGTATTGGTATAAAATTAATGAATAACCACCAACTAATTATGACCCTTGGTGGGCTACTAAGGCGCTATAGCCATTTTCTGCCAACTTCCAAAAAGGAGACGGTACTTAATTCGAGTGTATGTTTTTTTTTTATGTGTGTTACCTCATAACTTTGTACCGGGGGAACCGATTTCGATGATTCTTTTTTTATATGAAAGCTGATAGTTCTCGTGTGGTCCCATATGAATTTGATCAAGGTCAGACCAATGGTTATTGAGTTATTCTTAAATAACTTATATTAAAGTCGCTTATATTGAAGTCGGCTGTACAAAATTTTTAATTTTAAATTATAGATATGTCAGGTGTAATATCCAGGCCGGCGATAAGCGACAAAGGTACTGCGATGATCAATCGCTTCGATCGGAAAAACTAATAATAACAAAGTATCGGTATTCTCTCTTAATACTGGTTTTCATTTAATTTTTAACCGACTTAAAAAAGGAGGTGGGTCTCAATTCGAGTGTATGTTACGCGATATCTTCGCAGATTGTGAATCAATATTGATTATTCTTTTCTATATTAAATCTTTTATACTTCAAGGATGGGTCAATTAAAACGAATATAAATTTGGAGAAAAAATTTCACCCCTAAGGTTAGCAAATAAATTACTTCTTCTTTAACAATTTGAAGTCGGTTTTTACTTTTTGTTAAAAATTATAATTATTGTTTTTCGTACCCGATAACTATGCTCTCGAATTACACGTGTTATATACTCGTGTTGTTTACTATTTCAGGATCATATTTCATTTTCATTCGACCGAGAGCACAAACGTGCCCGCCAAAGTCACGCCACCTCGGCTTTGTGGGGAGCGACGAGGGGTATTTTCTACTAGGTCACCCCACAGACCTTGCCCCATTGGACTTTCCCTTGTGAAGATATCAAGCATTGAAGGTACTCCTGCTAATTAAGTATGAAACATAATATATTACGTGCTAAGGCATATGTCCAAAAACTCAAATGCCACTCAATTTTAAGATGTCGTTATGTCTCGTGGCGTCAGTCTCTTTGACTTAAAGTGATAGAGATTAGAGACAGCACGAGACTCAACAGCATCTTAAAATTTAGCAGAGTTTGAGTATTTGGTTAATAGTGTATCAAGGAATTAAAGCCCCTTATTTAAAAGCTATTAAATTATATGATTTTTTTTTTGTTATTTAAAGGTGGTTTTTACTTTTTTAAAGTTTAAATTTAGCGTGTAGTGGCGGTGTAAGAATATCCACTACCCCATATCGTCCCGTGGGTGTCGTAAGAGGCGACAGAGGGAAAACGAAACAGGCAGAAGCTTCTTCCTGATATCAACACAAAATAATAAAAAGCTGCGGTTGCCAACCTGCTTACCAAGCGTAGCAAAATCCCGCCATGAGGCAATCTATGAGGGAGGCCTAGGCTCAGCAGTGGACTTTAATATGCAGTTATGGATGGATGGAAAGTTTAAATGAAACAACAATCTCAGGGTTACAACTAGAAAGTTATCTAAATAGTTACATTAAACTTTTTATCTATTTTCCTAGTGGATTGATACATTAATGGGGGCTATAACCCTCCGCTCACCAGGTGTCGCTAGTTGACACTGAGCTGAGATAAAATTTTTTTGTTACACATTGTCATTTAATTGAGAAGTAAGTTTTAGATAAAAGTTTATCAGTTTCTAGAGTATTATATTAATAGACAAAACAATGACCTTTAGTTGTTTACTCTTTAATTTTTTGCACACTGAACTCTTTTTTTAAATTTTTCTACTTTTATGAATTTCTGTGGTTTTGTTTATTTATTTGTAATTTAATTAATATAAAATATAACGAATACTCGTAGTACAGAAAGAAGCTTAATGCTTTACATTTTCTAACAAATTCACTTTTTCGCTATGAAATCTGTCAATCTGTGGTTTGGTCATGTAGAAAGAATGAACGAGGAAAGAGTGACAAAGCAAATTTATGTTGCAGAAGTGAACGGCAGGGTCGGGAAGGGACGCCCTAGACGAAGGTTTATCGACCAAATCGGTGATACATTAAAAATGGGCCAGATTAGGAGTACCCTTAACCAATGAGCGTGTATGCGTAGATATATGGATGTAAAAGAGGCGAGAGAGGTGTGTCAGGATCGCGCCAAATGGAAGTCCGTAGTCTCTGCCTACCCCTCTGGGTGACAGGTGTGAGTGTTTATGTATGAAATCTGTCAAATATTACACCTCATTTTTAAGTGGCGCCGCCCTGGTGGCAGAAAAAGTCGTGGATGCCCTCTTGGTGAATATATCGCGTAACGTAAATACAAAAAAAAATTGAATTGAGAAAAATATTCCATTTTTGAAGTCTGCTAAATTACAAAATTAAATATCTGCAAAATTATGATAAGGCATTAATCATTGATCATACTCAAAATGTTTCAATACCTCTTTGATTTCAGGCAACAAAATTCACTTCGAGGGAGTGGATATGGTAAATGGAACTCCTGTGTTAGATATAAAACCGTACATCCCGCATTATGATTGCCCAGCACCGTTCGTGGACGCAGCGATGTCTTTAGTACGGCCGCCGACAGAGGGCATCAGTGACGCGGTAGACGGTGTGGCGACGCTGCGAATAGGCAATGATGATTTCAGCGTTAGAAGGTGATGACCATACATAATAATTGTGTTGCGTTAATAATATAATCATTTTCAAGGTGGTAGAGTCCTGCTGCAGCTACATTATGGTTGTAGCACGAATCAATTATAACGAATATAAGGCTCGACCGCGGTAGGACCACGCTCTCACAGAATAGAATACCAGCTTTAAATAGCAGCTTAATGCTGCAGTGTTTCATATGCTTAGTGTAGAGAACCGGAGATGCTTTTTACTGGAAACCATCTTAGCCCTCAAGGGTGACAACGCATTTGCATTTTGATTCTTCACAGCCGCAGCATCCACTTACCATCGGTTGAACTGTGTGCTCGTTCGTCAACTTCTTATTCAACTAAAACAAGAAATACAAGAAAACGTTTCATCTTCTCCTGGTGGTAGGGCTCCTTTACTGTCTAGGTGTATGTCTGAGTAGAGACTACCATCTTACCTATTTCTGTCGCTTTGCAGGAGTGCCCGCACTGTGTTCTGGTCCGAAGACTATATAGGGAGTCAGTATAGTTAGACCCTGTGAGGCATTCCGCCTTAGCCATTAGATGTGACAACGCATCTGTAGCCTTTGTTTGAAGTTGGTGGCAGGTGTCCATGGGCTGCGGTAGCCACTTACCATCTGGTAGGCTCTTATATATTTATCAATGCGGTTTTATAAAAAATGTCCTTCCACTTATTTGGGGTAAACATTTAAAAATACTAGATTGACATTTTTTTTAAAACGCGTAGGGCCTTCATAGCGAAATCGAGTTTACTGTCACAAGATATTACTAAATATTTCATTTTATTTTTACTAGTTCATTTTAATTCATTTATATACATAATAAATTAAGTGTAATCACATAAGTGTAGTGAAATTGAGTTTTCAAAAAAGAAAGATAATTTTGTAAACCCAATATCGTGGGACCGCATAGCAGTTCGTTTGTAGTTCCCTTAAATCATTAGGTTACTGTTGCTAGTTACGCGTCATACAACGGTAATGATTTCTCTACCCTCTTATTAAAAAAAATACCTCGCCAGTGGAGACCAAACGGTCGGGTTTGGGGGAAAGGGCCGTAAAACACCCGGCGAACGATGCAGGCGGTGTCTAGGAGCACTGCTTTCTGCATCTGAGCCCAATCGCCTCAGATTACCCGAGAGGCTGATCGGGATCAACCCGTTTGCAGTGGCAATGACTACAGGAATGTAGTTACATAATTAATCTTAAGTTAAGGCAGTATGTTTCAATATAGACGTCCCGTGGTAAATATGTGAACTAAAATGTAAAGTTGTAAAGTATATTTAAATTGCTCGAAGACCGTGGCGGCGCGCCGCTGCTAAAGGACTACTTTTGTGAGGAGAACTCTTCTTGAAACGCTCCGATTTAAACTATAGTTTAAGGCTAAGGGTAAGCGTTCACTAGGCTCGCCGAGCCGAGTCGAATCGAATCGCAGAAAGTCGCCTCCTATATATTTACTATGAAACTGCGTCCATTAGCGACGAGCCTTCGACTCGGCGCGCCTCAGTCGACGCGCAGAAGTGGATACGCGCCAGCGTATTTTAATTAATTTTTATTTCGTTTTCGTATGTGCAATTTGTGCTGGCGGACGGGGGATGTCCCGGATGATTGGCGATCCGCAGTCATTGTGCCTTTATATAAAGGTAAAGGTTCACATTTTGACTGCGGGTGCTATCGGGCGATCAACTTGACCAGTTTAGCAAGTAAAGTTTACTCGAAGGTTTTGACACGTAGGATGCAAGAGAAATCGGAAAGATTTCTATGGGAGGCACAATGCGGATTTAGACCTGGAAGAGGATGCACGGATCAAATGTTTTCTCTCCGTATGATCACGGAAAAGCTTCTGGCTGTTAACCAGAAGATTTTCTGTGCTTTTGTGGATCTTGAGAAAGCATTTGATAAGGTTGTAAGGAAGAAAATGTGGGAACTGTTGCCGGGGTATGGTGTGGATGGCCGATTGCTAAGGGCTGTGCAGTCTCTTTACTGTGACTGTAAAGCCTGTGTGCGGGTAGGGCATGACCTGTCACCCATGTTTAGCGTCCAAACGGGCGTAAAACAGGGTTGTGTCATGTCTTCCTGGCTGTTCATACTGTATCTCGACAGCTGTTTACAAAAGCTGAAAGATAGCTGTTTGGGTGTGAAATTGGGTGACATAAAAGTAAATTGTCTGCTGTATGCTGATGATGCAGTGCTTATTGCACCATCAGAGGCAGAACTGCAGGCATTAGTCACGTGTATGAAAGAGGAATGTGAAATTAAAGGTCTCCGTTTGAATGCTAATAAAACTAAGGTTCTGGTATTTGAAAGGGACGAAGAGAGAACGAAGTGTGAAATATGGGTAAATCAGGAATGTCTAGAACAGGTAAATGAAATTGTATACTTGGGGAGTGTTTTTAGCCGGGATGGAAGATGTGATTTAGATGTGGACAGGCGTGTCGCTGCCGGGAACAAAGTCAATGGTGCCCTGACTGCGTTAGTCAAAAGGCAAGGCGTAGCGAAGAGTGCACGCCTTGCAATACATAACGCAGTGTTGGTACCGACTTTGTTATATGGCAGCGAAACCTGGGTATGCCAGAAGAAGCATAAAAGTAAGTTGAATGCAGTGGAGATGCGATCTCTTCGTAAAATGTGCGGCGTTACTATGGCCGACCGAAAGCGAAACGAAGAGATTCGCAATATGGCAGGTTTGAAAGATGACCTTATCACAAAAATTGATAAGGGCGTGCTTCGGTGGTTTGGGCACGTTGAGCGAATGAGTGAAGACCGAATGGTGAAGAAAATATATAGCGCGAAAGTTAATATTAAAAGGTGTCGAGGTAGACCGAGACTAACTTTCGAAGACCATGTGAGCAAATTGCTCGAAGAGGGTAGGGTCAAGAGTACTCGGATACCTAGACGTGCATGTATGAAGAAGATAATGAATCTGAAAGAAGCGAAAGAGATATGTAAGGATCGTGACACTTGGCGATCTGTTCTCTCTGGCTACCCCGTCAGGGATTGTGCGTGAAGATAAGTAAAGTAAGTAATAATCTTTTTGTTTAAATAAAAATTAATGAAGAAATATTGATATCACTGGTCCAACAATATCCAGATTTGTTTAATCATGAACATCTACATTATCATGATGAAATAAAAACCTCTCTTCATCCGAGCTATCCATAACGCAAATACGACCTATTTTGTTGAAGAATTTGCGATGAATGAACAATTCGATTGGATTCGTCAGAGATGGACGCACTAGGAATAAATGCGACTCGCTTCGATTCGACGCATTTCTGCTGTAGTCGACGCCAGGCTTAAGAGTCCTTCCAGAACGCGCCCTTTCGAGTCGCGTTCGAAATTTAACATTTGCTGGCTGTGGAATTCCATACTTTACAACATTACTTTTACTTCGGATATATCCGCATCACATTTATCGTGCAACAGATTCTAGTTAAAACTTGGTACTAAGTATTAGTGATATTAAAGTATGAAATTGCTGTTTATATTGAAAAATTGTTATGTTTTCGAGAGTCATTACGAATCGTCTCGTACGCATACTCGACGGCTTCGAGACTTCCAAACGACCTGGTTTCCGAAAAGACTTTAGCACCCATAGACTACATACATACCCTTCGGCTAATTGTACAGAACTCCGAAGAGTACAATCTACTACTCCATAGGCGTAGTCCCGAACTCATGGAAGATAGCTTTGATGCACCCGATCCCTAAAAAAGGCGACCGCCCAGATCCGTCCAACTACAGGGCTTTCGCTATCACCTCCTTGTTCTCCAAAGTAATGGAAACCATTATTAACTACCAGCTCATGCGGTACCTTGAGGATCACCAGCTGATTAGTGACCGCCAGTAGCCAGTACGGTTTTAGTCGAGGTCGCTCAGCTGGTGATCTTCTAGGTTACTTAACTCATTGGTAGGCGGAGGCAGTGGATTCCATGGGGGAGGCGTTGGCTGTTAGTTTAGACGTAGCGAAGGCCTTCGATCGGGTTTGGCACAAATCGCATCTTTCGAAGCTGCCTTCCTATGGGCTTCCTGAGAAATTGTGCAATTGGATCACCAGTTTTCTTGCAAATCGGAGCATCAAGATCGTAGTAGACGGTGCATGCTCCGATTACAAGCCCATTAACGCTGGTGTTCCAAAAGGCTGCGTGCTATCACCAACGCTGTTTCTTCTGCATATAAATGATATGTTGCAAACCGGTAACATTAATTGCTATGCAGACGACAGCACTGGTGATGCTTTATACACCGGCGGTGTCACACGTCACAATTCTGTCCAAAATACCTACTCATCAAAGTAAGCCAAGCTTCAACGCGAGCTCCTCTATGCACGTTAGTTAATTAATGGGGTTGGCTATAGATATCCGGTACTTGATTTTAGTTATGTTTTCAACTTAGGAGGCTTGTCAGGGTTAAGCATGAACATTTTAAACTGTTTTTGAATGTCGGAAATGCGTTTTTAATTAATTATGACAAAAATAAATTTCAATAAAAATTCCGTATAACGAAACGCAAATATGACAATTTTGTATAGTGTTATGAGATTAGATGTCAAAAACAGATGCAAAAAGTGTGAATCGGAACAGTTGTTGACGGCCATGTTGTCGGCAACCGTAAATGTCAAATATAATATATTATCTATTATGTCAAATGTAAATTGTCATTCCGTTTCTCTAGTAGTCACGCGAATGTTCTTCTTTGTGCTTAGTGCTGTGTTTTCCCTGTATTTTCGACGACTTCTGCTCTGTTTTTGGACTTCTTTGATTGCCCTTACGTTTGACCTTGGCTTTGTTTCTGGTTTTGATTGGATTGCATTACTTTGGACTTTGGCTTGCTTACCGGACCTGAGAATGAGCGATTACGAACCCGTAGCGGGGCCTTCTTCGGCATCTGACGCTTTACTCGAGGAACCATCACACATCGACGAAAACTTCTCTGACGACGGCGACTATGTGAAGCGTCGACTATACGTGTCTGAGATTATGTTCATGTGGAATCTGTCGGATATTGTGCGTGAACTTGGAACGAACGAGCAATGTGTTCGATATAGTGAGGATGAAGGGCTGGTCCTAAAGGAACGAAAGTGCGGCAAACATAAAACTAATATGAAAATTTCATACTCAAGTGGCTGCAAATCGCTTGGTACTTTCATATGTGCTAAAGCATCCTGTAAGGGGAAAGCTGGAGGCAGTGGAGTTAAAATCTCACGACGACAAGGGACTTTTTTTGAAAATGTAACTCTTGATATGCCCCACATATATTACCTCATATATGCATATTCACAAGGATGGTCTTATAATCAAACAATCCATGAAGATCCATATAAACGACAGAGACAACAATGTTTAAGCCCAAATACAATATGTGATTGGTACAATTCCTGCAGAGAGGTAGTTGTTATTTACTACCTCGAGAAACAGAATCAGTTTACTGGAAAGATTGGTGGCCCTGGTAAAATTGTACAAATTTATGAGAGCAAATTTGGAAAACGCAAATACAATAAAGGTAAATATAAGTATGATTATGTTTACACCTTTTTTTGTCATACTAAATGTCTAATATTAATTTTATTTGTTATAGGACGTCACATCGAAGGCCACTGGGTGCTCGGTATGATAGACGATGGGTCTGAGGATCTCAGACTAGAGGTGTGCCCGGACAATATTAGGTCTGCTGAGGTACTGGTGCCGCTTATACATAGACATGTGGCGGCGGGTACCACAATTCATACTGATTGTTGGCGGGCATATGATTGTTTGGCAGAACACGGGTACACACATAAAAAAGTTAACCACTCAGACCCAGACAATCCATTTGTGGCTGAAGATGGGACTCATACACAACGAATTGAGTCGCAGTGGAGAGCAGTGAAGAGGTTTTTTAGAAAACAAAATTATAATAATTCTCAAAGTTTTACAGACGTGATTGTAGAGTATTTGTGGAGACGAAATGTAGAAAAGTTTAAAAAGGATCCATTCAAAGAAATTATGCGAGCAATAAAGCATGTGTATAAAATAAATTAAATAATTAAACTTACATTGTTTCATTTACCACTATCATAGCAGAGTTTAGGGAAACCTGACTTTAGATAAGATAGATCGAATTTGTACTAAAACTGACTCAGAACACCCCGACTCCACGTAGTCTTGTCTGCCCTACCCCTAGAGTGTTTTTTAAAGCCGTAGGCGCGGAGGGAAAGCAGCCCCCGCCCGCTGTAGCAAATCGCAGGCCCCCGAGCGAGTCGTAGCGGCTGAGGCTGGTCGCCGAAGGCGACCAATAAGCCGAAGCTGCGGAGGTGAGCAGGGGGCCTGCGATTTGCTACGCAAGGGCGATGGGGCTGCATTTCCCGTGGCGCCGAAGCCGTTACAGAAGTAACTTTGTGTCAATATTCCTATGTAAAAAAGTGAGGTTATGATTTTACAAAAGAAATTATTACTCATAAACTATACATTTCCGCAAGCGGGGAAGGGTAGGGGGGCTTCCCCTGTAATTTTGTAATTTTAATTATTCAATTATTGCATGTCGACTTAATATTTGCACACTGATAAATCGGTAAAACATGCATGTTCACACTATATTATAAGACCTAAAAATCTACCATGTTTTATGCAAATAAATATTTTATTATTATTATTATTATTACTTGTACTGTTTGTATCTGGCTGGTTTTAATATCAATACATTTAGGATATTAAGAAAAAGAAAAATAAGAAGTAAAAAAAACTTTCCCGCCATTTGTTTTTCTGTCCGCCAAAATGAGTGAATCTCGAAGAAATTCGATATATTCTGAAGTTTTTTACAAAAAAGGAAAAAATGCGCCTCAAGCCGCGAAAAAAATTTTTGACGTTTATGGACCTAATGCAATGTCAGTAAGAGTAGTAAAAGTAGTAACGTTTTCAGTCCGGGAATTAAGTTATCAAAAATGGTATCGACTTTATCCGTATGAGGGCGACCAGAGCGAGCTGCCTCTGGTCGCACTCATACCTATAAAGTCGATACCATTTTTGAAAAAGTGGAGCAAGATCGGCATATTAGTAGTTACGACATAGCCAAGGAATAGAAGATTGACCACAAAACAATTTTGACCCATTTGAAAAAGTTTAGCTAGACAAAAAAGCTCAATATTGATATCATACGATCTCACTGAAAGAAACCTAATGAATCGTGTAGTCATTTGCGATTCTATATTGAAACGTAATGAAATTGAACCATTTTTGATAATATTGATCACTGGTGATGACCGTGCGAAAAGATCATGGTCAAAGCATAGTCAAGCTCCACAAACTGTAGCGAAACCCGGATTAACACGCAATAAGGTGATGCTGTGTGTATGGTGGGATTGCAAGGGCATCGTTAAATATAAGCTTTTACCACCGAGCAAAACCATCGATTCGAATTTCTACTGCCGACAACTAATGAGACTCAAGCAAGAAATTGACAAAAAACGGCCGGAATTGATCAACAGAAAAGTGAGTGGTCTTTCATCGTGATAACGTCAGACCATACACATCTTTGGCCACTTAGCGAAAATTAAGAGCTTGGTTGGGAAGTGTTAATGCATCCACCTTATAGTACTAACCTTGCACGCTCAGATATTCACCTGTTTCGGTCTCTTCAGAATTATTTCGGTAGTGTTGCGTTAACATCAAGAGAGGACTGTCAAAACTACTTGTCGTATTTTTTTGATCAAAAATACCAAGATTTCTACAGCAACGGGATTATGTCACTACCTACAAAATGGCAACAAGTTATCTAATAAAATGGCACATATGTATATATTGTAATTAAATATTATTAAACTTTGAAAAAAAAAAAGAAAAGAAAGAAGCTTTTTCCCCGACTTTATATTTATGAAGTTAGGATATTAATGTTTTTGATTGGTGACTGGTGACGTTTTTGACATCATTTTTACCTTTATACGCCCCACTTTTAGGAACAGACCCCGATTTAATTTCTGAAAGGGTACGGCAGAAGTCAGTCATATACCAGCGTAAAATAAATAAATAGCGTGCGCTGCGTGAAACTTAATAAATAGCAGCTTAATGCTGCTGTATATCGTATGGTGAGTGTAGAGAACCGGGGAACCTTTTTACTGGAAATGAGACATTTCATCTCAGTCCTTAAGGTTAACAACACACCTACATTTTGATTCTTAATTGAGGATAAAAATGTAGATGTTTATGGGCATACAGCATCCACTTACTATCAATGGACTGTGTGCTCGTTTGTCACCCTATTCTATAAAAAAAATCTGCCGCTTTGTTGCATACACGTTGTTTACATGTCCTCGAAATATTTGAGACACATGCAGGTTTCGTAATCATTTTTTGATGTTGTAAATCAGCACTTACTTAGATTTCGTATAGTGTTTTGTATTAGTTAGGTAAAAAATAAAGTTTAGAAAAGTTGCAGCCTATTTGCGGCCCACTGCTGGGCACAGGCCTCCTCTTATTTCTGAGAGGGTTTTAGGGCAAGGATAGGTCCGCCGCGCTGCCCCAATGCGTGTTAGCGAACTTCACATGTCTTCGAAATATTTTTTTTCTTATTTCTCAGACATGCAGGTTTCCTCACGATGTTTTCCTTCACCGCCGAGCATGTGGTAAATCAGCACTTAAAATTGCAATTAACAATTTCATTGGTGCCGGCGGGGATCGAACCCGGGTTGCTCGAGTACTGTGAAGCTTACACCGAGCGCTAACTATCTGAGCTACCACGGCTTATTTAGTTAGGTATTTTATTTAAATTATAACTTACTTAAAGTTAAAAAGTAAACGCAGTTTAGTTTGTATAATTTTTATAATATAAAAACTGAGTATATAAAAAGTTAATAACACAAAAACTAATAAATATAGAATAAGTTCTAATAATATATTTTTATTACAGCTTAAGCCCGCGAGTAATGAACCCGACGGGAATGCCATCGGGAAGTCATTCGCCGTATGATGATGAAACCTCTCCAGACAGACAAAGTAATCCCACAACTCCAATCTCACCATCACCCGATTCTCATTCCAGTGTGGATATCTCGGAGACAACATTTCAGATCAGATCCCCATTGAGGCGTCCAGAAACAGAGAGAGGGGCACCGGACGGACAGGAAAGGTTTACCCCACCACAATTAGCCCACATCCATAACACAAGCCATGATGGCGTAAGAGTGGCGTCTTGGATTTCTAATCCACCATCACAGACATATGAAGTTAGATTTACTGAAGAAGCTCTTGATAGACTTAATGATCTGATTGGAGAAAGAGCTCAATCTTTTAAAAGTAACATAGAAAGTCTGCTATCTGAAGATCCAAGATCTGTGTACGTCAGAAGTAGATACCCTGACCACGAGTACAGTTGTGTGCTGGAAGATCTATCTATTAGTTGTGTGTTTGATTCTGCGACCTCTATGTGCACAATCATAGCTGTGAGGAATGCGGATGAGTTACAGCAGTCATAGTATCTCTACAGTGCGTGATATACTTCGTGCTTGAAGTGTTGCTTTAATTATTTATTTTTGCAAGTGCGATTAAATATTGTGAATAGTATAATTTTTTATTTAAATTTACTAAGGACATTATAAATCGTTATAGAATGGGCTGAATCACGAAAGGTAATGCAAAACAAAGTGAAAATATTAGTTAATATATTTTATTAGTAGACGGGAAAACAAGTTGGCAATATAGCTCAAGGAACTGTCAACGGATGAGGAAGAAAGTTGTTCAAGTGGCAGCTTAGTACTGGTAAGCGAAGTATAGGGTAGGAGATGAAGTGATGACCTGGTCAGACATGTAGGAAATCGATGCAGGTGGTGCAGGTGGATCGAGACCGTGCTTTATGGCATTCCGTAGGGGAGGCCTATGTTCTGTATTGGATTTGTGATGGGCTGTAATGATGATGATGATAAAGATAAAGTTTATAAGATAAAATACACCTTTATATTCCTCCTTAAAATTAGTATAACGTTCAAATATAAAATAATACTTTTGGATTATTATTTCTAAAGATATGTTATAATTTTCTTAAAATATTTTGTTTTTGTTTCCATAATACCTCTTATACAAATGTTATCTCTTAAATATAATTATATACGAGGTAGAGCTAAGCTGCAACATCCTGTGGTTGCAGGACAAATGGGTCGGCTATACCGGGGAATGGCTCACATTCTCACACAATAGCGTGAAAGATAGCAATAATGTTACTGTGTCACTGTTATGAGTCACGAGGAGACAACGGGATATAAGGGATGACAACGCATTTGCATTTTGATTGTTAATTGAGGATAGTTGTCGGTGTCTATAGGACCACAGCTTCTATTTACCATTATTAGAACTGTGTATTCGTTTGTGATCTTAACTTCTATACAACAGATATGCTATGTATTTAAAATTTTATCTATGAAAGTCTGTAATTTTTACATCGGACCAGTCGATTTTCTTAAAACTTTTATTTGCTAGCTTCCATGCGTTGTGTGTGTGTTCAATTTACTCTGTCTTGTGAACATTGCCTTATGTAGAAGTTAGGGTTGCCACCTGTACTATAATATATAGTATCGTACTATATTTCAGTAAATTGTACTATACGTTATAGAAAAATAATTTAGTACGAAAAATACTATATTTTAGCCCTAATTCCACTGTCGCGCTTTTTTATATTAACTGTGACTGGATGTTTGGAACAAGTAAGTTTTACGGAAAGAATTTTTTGCGGCATCAATGTAAAATGGAAAGAAGAAAGAAATAGAGCATGTATTCGTTTAATTAAAAAAATAATTGTAATTTATTTCAATATGAATGCAAATTGCTCAGATTCCTATGTTTATTTTGTAGATAATAGATCATTGATGACCAAAGCGAAGAGCAATAACTAATATGTATATCGAAAAATATATAAAGATTAGAAATAAATGTGTACTTTTTTTTTCTGAATTCCCTAAAAGTACTATATTTTTGCATCTTTTTAGGAAAGAATACTATTTTGTTCAAAAAAAGTTGGCAACCCTTGTAGAAGTGAATATTAAGATTGGCCCTCAATAATATGCTGCCCCCAAATATACTATAATATGTTAGTTACATTATAATTTGAGGATAAGTCACTATTTAAGTTGCAGGTCTCTTAGTATGGTTGATATGGAATAATGCATGACACTTTTACTCTTTTACATTACAACGGGATCTTCCAATGTGCTTGCACTCACATAATCACTCCATTCGGATAGACCGTCACCGCTTACAGCGCGAATTCTAAATAAATGCTGCGTATTGTATTCAAAACCTTCAAATGTAAATTGTGTCGTGTCTAAATTACTGTAAATTACATTGTCTTTTTCAATTTCATAATAATTTGCTTCAATCACAGGTGACCATTGTAGCGATATCGTCGTGGGAGTTGTATCGTTAGCTAGAATTTTAAAATTATCTGGAGTTTTCAAAGTTACGAGTACATTATCGTCTTCGTATTCGCCAAGTACTCTAAAACGCTTTGTGAAATGTTTAATTTTTATTTGTAAACGGTTGGAAGTTATATCCAGCTTATGGATTTTAATCAATAATACCGCTTGCAGTGCATCATTAAAGCTTTTTAAATATGGATTTACTTCAAAGTCTTTTTTGAAGTAATATGTATTTTCAGATCTTTTAAAATCTTCAAAATCATTAGCTTTTGTGACTTGAAGAGTTTCGCCATTCACGGCTACTTTTACATGATTGACTTCCTTCGAAGCCATTATTTGTAGTAGAGTGGTTCTTTCTTTAATCATACCGAAATACCATCCTTTTGTCTTTTCGATATTTATTAAAAGGTGTCCATTCATATTAGATCTGGGCGCGTCTACAACTATTTCTGTTGTAGCGAAGTGCCCTTTCAGATAATCAGAAGATACGCCGTCGTCTTCATAAACTTCAAACTTTGATCTGTTATTTGGATATAGAGTGATAGTTCTACTACTCCTATCTATTTCATTGGGATTGTTATTTGGATTCGTCATCGGTATTATCGCGCCGTCTTTAATAAATACTGGAATCTTCCATAATGGAGTAGCAAAATTATTGATAATTGTTCCGCCTTGATATTTTTTACCAGTAAAGTAGTCTATCCATATCTGTTTCTTATCCGGTAAAAAAATTCCGTCACGCTTAAAACCCTCTTTGAATACCGGTGCAACTAAAATGTATGGCCCCCACATAAATTGGTATTGACAGTCCTTGGTGTAGGCAATGATTTCATTTGGAAATTCCAGGAACATTGCCCTTAACATTGGCAGGCCTGTTATAGATTCATGGCTGATAGTGTAGTTATAAGGCATAAGCATTGACTTTAGTTTTAAATATGCCCTGTTTATGCTAGTAGCTTCGTCATCAAAACTGAATGGAGTTTTTGGAATGTTCCCCCACCCGTCCATATTTAACTGTAAAGGTGAGAAGGTTTTCCATTGGTAATCACGAATATTTACTTCTTTCTCTTTCCCCCCGTATATACCATCCATGTCGGAGCCGACTATAGGTTGGCCGGAGAGACCTGTCCCGATATATGTTGGTATGTGAAAACGTATGTACTCCCATTGCCCTCCCGTTTGATCACCGCTCCAAATTCCAGAATAGCGTTGTGTTCCAGCCCAACCATCAACCATTATAATCATTGGTCTCACTTTTGTATTCGACATAAAGATCTCTGTGACTTCATCGACGGCGTTCAAGCCAAATGAGTAGCCACTGCCAATCCAGGCCACGTCACATTTTAGCGCAACTACTTTAGCAACACTTAGTTCTTTGCTCAAATCCCTTTCTCCCTTTTTAGGATGTAATGGATCGGCGGGGGAAAGATTAGATTCGGTCCAAAGCGCAACTTCTACGCCATTTTCTGTGGCATAATCAGTAAATTGTTTTAAATTCTCAATATCTCCGTCTAGGGTATCGGTTTGTCCATATCCAGATCCATACCCATCATTCGGTATAAACCAACCTAACGGCATATCGTGCTTTTTATATCGGTCAATCATTGCTCTTGCCGAAAACTGGTAGTTATTCTTCTCCCCGTTTAATGATTCCAAAATTCCTTTTTTATGTCCAATTTCATTTGGTTTGTACTTCTTGTAGTAATTATTGTCCTCGAATAGTATGGCACCAGGCGTCTTACTAGTGACTTTAACCCAATAATCGCGGTTAAACGTATTTAAGTGCGCTTCATAAAAAGCATATTCAGGCATTAAAATGGGTTGTCCAGTCAATTCGTAATACTCATGTAGAATCTCCCTAGGTTGAGAATTGATAATGAAAAATGCATCAAAATGGTCTTCATTATGAGTTGTCACTATTTTGCTAGGGGATTTAGATCCAAAGTCGTAAACGCCGGGCTGCCAAGTGTTTCTTAAAACTCCGTAACCTTTAGAGGACCAATAAAATGGGCAAGGCGAAGTTACTCCACCGTCCACCCAGTTGTTGGTGTTAAGTATGTGTATAATATTTCCTTTATGTGAAAATCTTCCATTTTGCATGCCCCCTCCAAAGAAATACTCATCCTTACTTTGATGAAGCGACTGTATTGATTTGTCGTCACTATACAACAAAGCACTCGACTCCTTTAGTACTTCTTTTTTAGTTCTTTTATCGAACACTGTCATTGTTGCTTTTATCTTATCAAATAGTATTTGAACTTTATTTATGTCAATTTGATAATATTTATTAAGTTCGTTTACACATGATTTCTTAAAAGTTTCTTTGTCGTAATCAGCTACATCTTTCACAGTGATTTTTGCAACGTCGCCTGCATTGTTTGGCATCGGATAATCTAAGAACACTCCAGTCGGTGACACATAATATCTGAAGACATGATTGTTTATGATATATATCTTTGCCTTTTCACCAGTTTTGAAATTAATTAAATAGTCTTCATCCCGTTTAGTTATAGACTGTATGCCGCTTATAACATTGAGATCTTCCGCGCTTTCCATTTCTGTAATTATAAAATAAAATGTAATAAAATATTAATTTTGAAAAAATAAGCATACAGGATTACTTGTTAAAATTCATTATTAAATTTATGATCCTTTTTGCCGCCAAAATAATTGCGTAGCTCAGCAATTACTATTTATTTTAACATTCCTGACAACTGAATCGTGAATCATATAGTTTTCAAATTTTATTCAAAATACATTATTGCTCATTTCCAAACTATTTGCTGATTTATTTTCCCTTTGTTATATTTTTCCCCTTTGTTTTATTTCCCGCCGTGGAGAGGTTTCGTAATATTATAATATTCGTAATATTGACGGCTCCGTGGCGCAGTGGCTTAGCAATCAGTTGTTGCGCTGGGGGCCGCGGGTTCGAATCCCGCACGGAACAAGTATTTGTATGGCCTACAAATAGTTGTTCCGGGTCTGGATGTTTGTCCTTGTGCAATTTATGTTTGTAAACTGCCTCCACGACACAGGAGAAAATCTTAGTGTGGGGGGTAACGTTTTAAAAAAATATATAATCCATTGCCCCACATATTCCCGTGGGTGTCGTAAGAGGCGACAGAAAGAAACTGAAACAAGAGATGGGCAGCAC